CAAGTTTTAAAAATTTATGGAAATATATCCAGCGCTATTTTAATTGGACTTGGAAAATTGTTCCACCTTCTGTGCATTCACTTGTGCTTCTCTTTACGTTGGTAGTAAAATATCATCTTGTTTTAGTTTCAAAAATTTAAGGGCGAGTGTAGGATCTCGGAATACAATTTTATTATTTACCATTGTTTTATATTTATTTTTTGAATTCTTTGGAATCTTAATATTTTTTATATCTGTCACAGTTTCGCGATCTTCAATCTAAAATCTTCATCGGCGCAAATTTTCGAAAACCAAAGTAATTAAAATTCAGTTCGCTGTCACATTCTAATCGAACGGGTTGTTTATAGCTGTTAAATCGTTGACAAATAATCTAACAACACTGCTGGATGTAAATCGGCACTTTTCTCGATCGTAAACAGCGTGTTTTATTAGTTTGCTTCTCTAACAAACGCCGTAAAACACAAATGAAAGAGATCTACGGTCCTAATCGGAGTCGCTTTATTTTTTTCCCATATAAATTCGAAAATGTGTGTCCGAGTTTTTTAACAGTATATGTGTATGTGATTTTCACCTAAAAAATTATATATACGCGCGTGTGTATTCACACCTTATGCAGGCTTTCGAAATACGATCTATGGTCACGCCTATGAACAGTGGCGCAAACAGACCCCTAAAATTCCCGGGCGCATTACCCACATTGAAATAGGAAACGAGGCGTACTCCCCCCCCCCAGAAACCCAGACCCACCGTTGTTTACTTAATAAATACATATTTAGTACATACGACGTATATAAGCCGACGAAGCCGGCTGTGTCTATTTTTACCGCCAGTTTTGTTGTCATAGGATCGACGACTTGGTTTCCCCCTCGTGATGCCGTCACGAGAATCGAGATGCTCGACAATGGATGGCTAAAGCCCGTGAATTCAACTTCGAAAAACGGTTCTGATAGTTGGGTCGGTATCGCGCGCCCCAACTTTCTAATAAAGTTGCCGGCGAACCTTCATCGCGCGAAGGAGAAAAAAAAAGGCGCGCGGTTGTACGCGTAACGCTTTTCTCAGATTGAAAAGCCGCTCTTACAGCCCCCTGCTTGAACTTTGTGTACAAAACGCGTATAATTCCACGATTATGCGTGTTGCGCAAGTTAACCTCCCGCTTGACATTTTGCGGAATTTTTATTTTTATAAATATTCCGCGCGTTCTCCCGTTCCCCCTTTCCAAAACCACACGCGGAGTGAAGTGTACGGCGGAGTTTGGAAAGCGCATGAAGTACACCGCGGAAAATGCGGCGAGAATTTCGCCGCGTTACAGCAGCGTCGGATTTTCGCGTGAATTTATGCAGGTTAGTCGGTCCCGACTTCGGCTCCGCGCGTGTTATTTATTCAAGTGCTCCCGCGAAATAGGTGCGTATTAAATTTTTCAGCGGAAATATTGATGGGCTTAATGAAAAGCCTCTTAGGATGTTCAATTCGGTTTTTTTCCCCCGCGATTTTGGGCTTTGATTTTAAATCGCGACTCGTTAAAATACATACGAGATTCTGCTATACGCGATTCGAAATCACGTGTTTTTTTGAGAAGAAAAACAAACATTTTCGGCGCAATGTCGTTATTGCATCGTGTAATTGCGAAAGAGCTGAGTGGAAGAGCGAGTGAAAAGAATATTTTAAGGACGCATCGGTTTTCGAAGAACATTTTGTGTCCCCCTTCCCATTTCCGGCTCGCCTGTACAAACTCAAGCCGGTGGTGGTTCAGGTTGCGTCAGGCAACATGTGTGTACACGCGTATTTATCGCCGGTTTGTACCCCGTTGCTCTCTCTCTCTCTCTCTCTCTCTTTCTCTCTCTTTTTCTTTTTCTTTTCTCGCGCGTACATATATACACTTAGTTAAACAAAGAATAGAATTTCCATACCTGTACCATCCACTTCGTTTCTTTTCGCGAAGTACGAACGAAGTAAAGCTGTGAAGTGCTTATCGTAAAGTACATTAAGGAGTTATGTTCTCCGATGATATATACCGCATCGTTACCACGCCGCGGGATTATGTCGTTAAAAATTATCTTTATGCCGAACATATTCATAAACACTTGAAACATGTTGACACATGCAATAAATACGCACGTGGTTTTACTAATGTGAAATACATAAAAGAGACCATTTCATTAAAAAAAAAAAAAAAACAAACAATATATAAAATAGATTAGATTTTTTACTTCTAACAGTTTAAAAAGAAATTATACCGCGCGCGCGCTCACACACACACACACACACACACACACGTGCGCATGCAAAGAAGGCACTTCTCAAGCGTACACTTTGTTTGTTAAAATTTCTTCTCACAAATTTATTTTCGATAAATTAAACGCAAATTGGTTCCGATATTAATCGCGAACGCGCGCTCTCTCACACAACGCGCGCACCAAAAGTATCGGAGAAAAACGCACCTCGGCCGTTTCTTTCCTCCTCGCGATCTGCGGAGGCGTATGACAAAAAAAGATCTCTCATGAAATCCCCCCGATGGGGCACGCAGCCCGACTTCGACGACAGTGAGCGACGAGGTTGGCAATGTGTGATGCGCGCGAGCACATTGAAGAAAGAGAAAGAGAGAAAAAGAAGGAGAAAGCAAGACAGTGAGGAAAAGAGAGAGAAAGAGAGAGAAGGAGAGACGAACATATGGTGAGGCCGAGTCAGACCACGATGTGCCGCGTATGATGTAGTGGTTTGCCTGGCAGCAGCGGGGTCAGGGACGTAATGAAGGATGGGTGTCTAAGCGGGACGAGGGGGGGGTGAAGAAGTCTTTGGACTTGCCGCGTAGAAGAGGGGGACCGCGGGAGCACAGAGGGAGAAGGAGAGAGGGGAACGCGAAGAAGAAGGCAGGGTACACATACGGAGCGGAGGACTACGGCAGCGGAGAGGCGAGCGACGAAGGGGGAGAAGTGCCTGAAAGCAGGCCTGTTGGTTGGTTTCAACTATATTTGTTTATATTTACACAATAAGCAACAGCCCCGCCGGTCGGGCTGCTTGGTATGCCCGTGCCGCTTTTAGTGTTTAGTCCTCGCCGTAGTCGCGCGGTCGGCGTGCTAACGTGTTGGCTTTCGTCTTGGCGAATCCGACGCGCTCTCTCTCTCTCTCTCTCTTTCTTCCCCTTCTTTTTACTCCCTGCGTTTTTTTTTTTTTCTTGTTTCTTACCGTCGCGCTCCGTTTGTCAAGAGGGTGCGTTTTCGACTCGTTTTCTGCTCCCTGCCCCCGTTTCCCGAGTGTGCGAGTTGACTGAGGAGAGACCGTGGAGGTTTCGCGGAGGTTCAAAGTGCCGCTCGATTTCTGGATGCAGTGCGGTAGATAAACGTGTGCAAGTCGGTGCTTCTGTGCTGAGAGACAATCGGCGGCAGCGACTTCCGCTGCCGTCGCGCGGGAGATTTCAATGGTGCATACCGGATGTTTACAGTGAATGTAGGCGCGATCGTTTGCGCGAGCGTCGCGCCGCCTCGCTGCGCTTTCGGGAACGGAAGTGTCGCTCGCCGCGTGAAGTTTCAGGGCCAGTGTCTTGTCGCGGTAAACCCGGCGAATTTGTTTTCTCTCCCGTCGGAAGAACTGCGTACATTAACTCTCACTCATGGACTGCGACTTGCCCGCTAGAAGAGAATTCTTGCAGATGTAAGGAATTTTGATTGAATCTCCACGGCACACGGTACAGCAATTAAGAATTAATTGAGCGATCGTCTCTTAGGTTACGTGACGTAATAGTCGTAAATGTCGTCATGAATAATCAGTGATGAGAATAGGTATTAATTATACGACGCTCGGTTACGTAATTTTCACGTGATACTCCGAAAAAAATGCACACTTGCGTCGCGCGGCGTTCAAAATAACCAAGTGATGTTTAATTAACGGGCCGCGTGTTGCGTGTAATTATTCCTTTCTTTGAAGAAATTGATGTTTTCCGATTTAGCCTCGACGAGGATGCGTCGAAGAATATTGCATGACTAATTTTTCCCGAATAATTAATATGTTAATGGACAGCGATATAATTCGGACTCCATTTTCCGCACACACACATACGCGAGCGCGCGCGCGCGAGGGAAACGTTAATAAAAATTTTCAAGGCGCTTATATCGCTATTTATTTCTTATTTTTTTAATGCAAATGCGCGTAAATTTCACATTTAAATTTCTCCGATAAATTAACTCTGCAATATTCTGTTGCGTGATCTTTTTCTTTTTTTGTTCGCGCACTTTATTTGAGCCTCGCCAAATTTAAACGATACACGCACGCTTTGGAAATTTCGGGGTGATATTATGATAAGATTTATGAATTATTTACACGCGCGGCCGCGCAAACCACACAGCGCACACAGCGATACTCTCGAAAATATTTACGATTACGCACAACACATACCTCGAAACTATTTTGTATTGTGTACCGTTGCGTGCGCGCGTGTGTGTGATGGAAAGCAGAATCTTAGCACGAATTAACATGATCTTGCGCATTTCCGGGAGCGGTGTGTATTATTAGCCTTCCTCAACTGTGAAACATTGTTTCTCTTGCGTTGAGTGGGCGGTATCACGTGCGTCAGACTTCGATCTAAAATCGTGGCTCTCGCGAGGGCAATGTCGGATGTTAAGAGCCCATGTGTTTCGAGATCTCGTCACAATTGTTCGGTCGCGATTCGCGATTACGAATCGAATTACACAGCCAAAACATATTTTCCAAGCTTTACTTCTAATTGTCTCGACGTAACGTGGCTTTGTAAATATTTGTGTCAATTCTTGCTTTTCTGTTGGTATTTATCTGACATCTCGATCTATCGCACGCGCTTAACATTCGACAGAAATTATATGGCGATACAACTCCGTTGTATGGCTCCGGAGTGAAAAAAAAAATATATTGAAACAAAATAAAAACAAAAACAAAAATAAATGATACAGAAACAATAGGTCTTCACGGTAGCTATTATAAGCAATCGGTTGCGCGAGAAGTTACTGACGTAACGATGATCGTGATTTCAGGACGATGGCATAATGGATCATGACACAGACGGAGACGGCGCGATCAACTTGTCAACGTCACAGCGACCCTCCGCCGCCACTACCCCTAATGGTGATACTCCCACTTACGGCCAGGATCAACAAGACAACGATCAGGTAAGGGATTAATCTCGGACGAACAGCCTCGATTTATTATTGCGTGCAATATTTATTTATTTTTTTTTTATGGCGTGTGTAAACGTCAGCGCGCGACGATTGACGTAACAAAATCCCGATCAACATAACGTTACCGCCACGTGTGAAAACGTAGCTTGAAAAATTTATTTATTACATCTATTTTTTGTTTATATTCATTTTCTTGTAACGCACTGTTATAAAACAAATAATTGACGTGTAAACAATATGGTCATATTATGGACAGCAATATGTCGCAAACGAATTAGAATTAATAATCAAGTACGATACTGAGAAATTTATGTAAGAATGAGCGCAAATATTTGCAATAGTTGCTTTAATCAGATCTTATCTGCTTATTTGCAAGGTAAAAAATATAATTTATTGAAATGCGCAGAGTTTAAAGAAATTGAATATGTACAATTTGAAGAGACACGTTTGAGTTAAATAATTTAAAATACATGTTAAATATACAATTGAAAAAAAAAAAAACGTTTAACGAAAAATGTATTAATTACAACAATTACATATACGCTCGCGCGCGGTTGCGATCTGTTGTTGAGACAACGGGGAATGAAATTTGTTACAATTTCAAACGATAAAGCTTACTCTTGTATCAAATGGCAACGAATACGTGATAACATTGATCCACATAATGTCGCTAAATATAGTCACGCGCGCAGCTGTTTATACTCGATAAAGTTCAAGACGTTAATCTGTAAAACGCGGCAACAATGTGACATCGCGAAAGTTTTTTTTTTTTTTTTTTTTTTTTTTGTTAGCTACACACTATCGAAACGTGAGAGATATTTAGCGCGCTATCACGAAAAATGAGCGGACAAATATCCGGTTCTTTCTCAATTTACAATGTTGTTTACGCAGATATTGACAATCAATATTACTGAGTTGTTTCTGCGCAATGCGATACGAAATTGCTTGATAGAACTTTCGTTTCTTTTTTCAAACACAAGCTGTCAAGCGTTCGATAATTAACGCCGCATGTGCGAAGAGTTAAGAATTACTGACGCATGTCATTGCAAACTAAAATAATATACGCCGGTAATAATGAAAACGTATAACAAAAACATTCGCGCTGTGACAGTTTCGCGGAAGGAACGGATCTCCGCAAACGGAAACTTTGTCTTGAGGAAAAACAGTTACTCTCTCGAGCTATAAATATAACCCGATCGCGCGCTTCGAAAACGATCATCTCTAGGAGGAGTAGAACCAATAAAACGAAACACAGGCGATTTTCCCAGCGCCTCTCCGTGCTCTTTCTCCGCGCTGCGAGTGTTCCAAATCGAAAAACGAAATTGAACAGTTTTCCGCATCCTGTATCGCGACCTAAAGACCCAAGGAGTAAACCGATAACCGCCCTTTTCGGAGCTCTCTCTTTTTCTCTTTTTCTCTCTCACTCTCGACATTTCGAGATCCGTGAGTTTCTCAGCGATAAGCCGGCACCGGGCGCGACACTTCGACATTTGACACCCGGCTGCCATAAAATCGGGGGTCCCCTGATTTCAAATTCAATTCAAAATCCCGCGCTCGCGGCGAACGCAATATACCACTCCGGCAAGCGGCGGCGGTGGAAACAAATGTTTTATGGCCCTTAAAGCGGCCTTTTTCCACGGTCTCGTTTCCGCAAAAGGTATAATATGGTTCGGAGACGGTACGCGCGTTTATATGTATGGTGTACGCATTTCACGCGCGAAAACTCTCCGTCTATTTCGATCTCCTCGCGAGAGGAAAAAAAAAGCAGAATTTCCTACCTTTTCCAAGCAATTTTCTAGAGACAACCGCAACAAGTCTATCATATGTTAATGCATAGTTTATCGCCATTTTGCGTTCTCGCGTATGATTTTTTTTTTATTCTTATTCTCTCCCGTTCTTATCCTTCTCTGCGTGTCATCTCGAATTCTTTTCCGTCATATTATTATTACGCGATCATCACAGAAGAAGCGAGAAGTCAAATCGTTTGCACGCGTTTGACATTAGCCGGGAATAATTAATAATAAATGCGAATAAGCAGGTTTTAAGCACCAAGAAACTCGCGTAATACGAAACCGTTTATCGAGTTTTATTTTTGGTTTTCCTATTCCCGATGACCCAAGGAGTAAAATCGTGTATTTTCCGAAGGACCGACTACTAATATTAAAATGCATGCACCGTATTAATCCAGCCGAGTTTAGCTGGAGATATATGTATATCAAAATGAATACAGGTCGCGATATTTTATTGCGTCCAGGTCAGGACTGAAAGAATATCGCTCTCTCTCAGTTGGTTGTTGAGAAAGAAACTCTGAATTTCTAATATTGTGTTAAGTCGATATAAATTCAATTATATATACAATATATGTATATGCTGCTCGATCGAGTTCTGTGCGCGACACCTGTATTTTTTACCGCGCTCGCGCGCGTCTTCTTCTTCGATCGTCTCTTATTCCGGAGAACAATTCGGTCTCGATTTAAATTGTTTGATCAAATTTATTATGGTGTTTTATTATAGCTTCTCCGATATTCTCTCTTGAAATATCTAACAAATATATCGCGCGCGCATCGTTTTGTCACGCACGTCATCTATTTTTTTTTTTATTTTTAAAATTTTTTTTATTTTAATATCCTATTTGTACAAAATTGAAACGTCTGAAATTCTTGTCGTTGGCTCGATGTCTTCATTTTCTTCGCAAATGCTTCGCTTCTCACCGAACAGACGTCCAACTGAAATTGGAGCATGTTAAGGGGGTGTCTCGGCAATTACATCTCTCTTCGCGTAACAAAGTCACACGAAGACATCAGATTCCTGGCAAGACACGTAGACACCTCGACACTTGGACTTCGTGCCCTTCTCTCTCTCTCTCTCTATCTCTTTCCCTCCCCTTGATCCTTTTACAACCCTGTAACCGCACTAGAAACGACACCGTCCCTCGCGCGATGTCTTAGGCCACCGCCGGCGTCACTCTAAACCCTCCTAGCCGCCTCTCGACTCTCTCTCAAGAACCCCTTAAATTATAAACAGTGTCAGAGGCAACGCGCCGCGACACTTCGATCGCGGTCGACTCGAACTTGGCTTACGACTACTCGTGTCAAAGTGCCGTTAGATATTGCGTATACGTCTCCACTTCCACGATTCGATATCGCGATTTTATCGCACGTTGTTGTGCGCGAGTTTTATGATAAAAAAAAAAAAAAAAATACAAGTGCTTTAAATATGATTAAAAAAAAAAAACATTCAGACACATTATATCCGTTAATTTTCGTGAGTAAAAATTCTGATTCGCATTGACGCAATCGCGTCCCACTCGCTCACGGAATTCCAACTTAAAAAGCTTTCCGTCCGGTTCTAATAAGTTAACTACGGAATCGCCTTGAAGTTCTTCTGCATAGAGATTGCAAATAATTGACTCAACGGGACAATTGTCGGCATTAACCTAACCTAACCCACTGCCGCCTGGAAGAGCCAAGACCGAAGAGATTCCCGAGCGAAGTTACGGAGTCTATCAAGAGTGCTTCAAGTGTGACACAATGGGAGTGAGGAAATCGCGGTCGAATCGTGAGACGGTCAGCAAAAGTCAATGGTTACCCAAAACTCGATTCCAAAACGATCAAGCGCGAACTTCATAAAGTCGTAAGATCCCTCCGAACTTCCTCGATGTTCGATTCAGAAATCGACGTTCCCTTCTCTCTCTCTCTCTCTCTTCCCCGCATTTACGAAGAGAAAAAAGAAAAATGATTTGAAAGACCTGCGAAAGAATTTTCCCGCGTAAATAACCCACAAGGTTATTCCGTCGAAGCTAAAAATATAAATAATGTAAACAAACAGAGGACAGTTGTGTCGCGTAATATTGCTCCCAACTGGGACGCACGCCATTATTTTGCCGAGCGGTGGATATTGAATTATTGCATTTTGTGAGGTGTTATTCTTTCGCGTTATAAAAGAAGTGACACAGAATGCTCCCAAAATATCGCGCTGTGTACGTGTTAGTTCGCCGATAAGCGAATCTCTGTTTACACAAGCAACGGCCGAGCAGATGTACGGTGTCGCACGTTCGTAATTCTGGTGCTCGCGTACATACACGTCATTCTCTTCTTCACAAACTTGACGCTCACACACGATACATATGTGTGCGCGTGAGTTCAGAATTTTCTAATTTACTCGCGGAGCTGACGCAAGTTTCTTTCTGTTTTTTTTTTTATTTTTTTATTTTTTTTTATCACTTATCTCCCGTTATTTGCTGATTAATAAAGTTCGGAAAAAAATGACGTTACATATCTCTTTAAAATGAGTTCGTTTAACGACGCGGGTGCAATTGTCATTTTCTTTAATTCTGTCGCGCGTCATAAAGCGCGTCACCATCCTCGCTCCTCGCGAACAATAAAAATTCCTCGGGTCATTCCGAGAATGCCAATTTTAATGCGTGATCTCTCCGTTTGTCCGCGCACTCTCGGGAGCGGGAGAGTTGCCAGTCGCGTGTTGGACGGGTATTTCAAGATTAAACAAACTTTCACCGTTCGTGAATGACGTCGATATTTCATTAGACCCCGTTTATCTCCGGTTAATATCCAAACCGCCCGGAGAATCCAAAGGATCTCCGGCGGGAGTATCGGCGTTCCTTGAAATGCAAAAAGGGGTTGCGAGAAACGGGCGCGAAAGGAATAGAATAAGAGGGGAAGGGAAGAGGGGGTGTTGAAAAGGGACGGGACGCGGTGGGAGAAAAGAAGAGGCGAGCATCGATGAAAGACAAGCGAGTTCTCACTTCCCATCCTCCGGTTTTATATGGATCGCAAATTGCGGATAGGCTGTCCTTCCCAATCAGGCAGAGCTTGGAACCCTCTCCTCTCCTCCGCTCTGCCGACCAATTCTTCTTTCCCCTGGCTCTCTCCCTCGTGCCATTTTTCTGCCGCCTCCCCTTTTCCCTCTTCCTGTAAAGCGGCGGCTCGCATCCTCTCTTCTCTCCCGAAGCCGTAACTTTTACGTAACACGCT